TACAGCACTTTATTTGTTTATGGACTATGTGAACTTGGCTCTTTGTGAATGGTCTGTTTGTTATTCTTGCCCTGACTGTCTTTTCCATTATTTCTTTCCTCTCCAGTATTCTTATCTTCAGCAAATATCTCTATGGTTAGCAGTGTACTGTGCCCTCGAGTCGCCCTGTGGATAACCATCAGGGGCTTGGCCTCATTGGAGCTTAGTGAGAGACAAACAGATGACAGCCGTGCAGGGAGGCTCTGTATGTCTTAGAGCACAGGGGGACTGGACTGGACAGAAGACACTCCAGAGGAAACCAGCATCTAATGCATGAGTAAGATTTAGAGGTTGCTGGGCAGTGGTGGTGCTTGCCTTTAATCCTGGCATTCCAGAGGGAGAGCAGACAGATCTCCGTGTTCCAGGTTAGGCTGGATCAAGTTCCAAGACAGCCAAGGCTACACAAAGAAATCTCCCTCTGTCTCTCTCTCTCTCTCTCTCTCTCTCTCTCTCTCTCTCTCTCACACACACACACACACACACACACACGCAGGGGGTTACATTTTAGATGAGACAACATTGTGGAGGTCTGTTGTGAGTAAGATGACCTGATACCCAGGAGCAGACTTAGCAACATGGAAGTATTAGTGACAATCACTTTAATTTCTTTCAATGATCCATTGGACAGAAGCCAGAGGAAACCTTGTCTGGACCTTCAGAGAAATGATTTGCGTGAGTGTGTTTAGTTGTTTATTTGTTTAGTTGTTTGTTTGTGTATTTCTTTGTTTGTCTTAAGAACGTTCTTTTTAATGTGTTTTCCCACAAGCATCATGTGGGAGTTGCCATAGAGATAAGGAGTCGAAAGTTACAGGTGGTTCTGAGTGACCCAGTATGAGTGCTGGGAACAGAACCCAGGTCCTCTGGAAGAGTAGCAAGCAAGTCCTGTTAACTGCCAAGCCGTCTCTCCCAAATGTGACAAATATGCCTCTTTTCTAAAAAGTTATTTTTTTTTTGTTTGTGAGGGTGGAGGTGCCTGCATGCATGTCTGTGTACCATGTATAAGACTGGTACCTGCAGAGGCCAGAAGAAGGCATCGCGTCCACTGGAACTGGAGACATAGAAGGTCGTGAGCCACAATGTGGGTGCTAGGAATTGAACCCTGGTCCTCTGCCAGAGCAGGGTCTCAGATAGTCCATACTGGCCTCAAATTCACCGGATGACCAAGGATGACTTTGAAATTCTGATCCTCTTCTGTGTGCTCCCAAGTGCAGGGATTCCAGGCGTTAAGGCACTCATACCAGTTTTATGTAGTGTTGGGCGTAGAACTTAGGGCTTCTTGCATGCCGTGTAAGCTTTCTGTGTACACCAACAAGCTGTCTATATCAGCCACCTCTGAGAATAGAATTTAAGGTGCTGGATCTACTCTTCCTTAATTTCTGCCTATTCCAGTCAGGCTGGAGTGTGCAGGGGGAAATGTCTGAGTATGAAGACTCTTCTGTCCCTTCATGAATGAAGCTTCTGGCTATGAGGACCTAATCTCTGGGAAAGTCAGCTATTGATATGTAAGATAGTCTGTGAGTGTCACTCTTATTGAACCTGGGTGATGGATAATTGGACTGGGTGTTACACTGTCCTATCTAATTTTCTTATAGCTAAATTTTCCATAATGGAGTTTTAAAAGGTTAAAATGATTTATTCTATAAGGGGAAGGCACAACGATATGGAGGCCAACTATGTTTGTGACATTTAAAATGCGGATTTGTCTCTTTTTTTAACATCTTTATTAATTTTTTAGAATACCTTTCTACTTGCTCTTTGACAGTTCCATACATGCGTCCTGAATCTTGACGATACCCACCCCAACACTCCCCTGCCACTAGTCCTCAACATGGCCCCTCCCACCTTCAGTTCCCCCTCCTGTTGTGGCTAACCTATTGAGTCTGATTGGTGCTGCCTGCTGGACTGCAAGCTGTTGTTGGCTTTGTCTTGTCCAGGTGACCATGGCCACAGTGAGTGCATGAGAGCAGTTGGCCGAGTCACGTCCAGAAGACAGCATTCCCCAGCACCCTCCCCATCCTCTGGCTATTGTGTTCTTTCTGCCTCTTTCCCCAGGATGTGGCCTGAGCCTTTAGGGTTTGATGCACATGTCTCACTTAGGGTGGGGCACTCAACAGCCACTTAACTCTCAGCACTCTGACCAGCTACATAAAAAACTGGGTGGGGATGGCTCGTGCCTGGAATCCTGCACTTGGGACCAGCCAGAGTGACGGCTAGCCACTACAGAAACAGTTTTCTCTGGCCATGGCAGCACTAACCTTGAATACAAACATATATATCAGAAGGCAGTCTGGCAACATATATGAAAATGGGGACATCTTTAAGCCTACTATACCACCATCATGTACACTTCCAGATGCCAGATGTTTGTAAAAACTCCCAATATGGGCGCCACTGTTTACCTTCCCATTAGTCCGACACCTTCCTTTCCCTTCTTCTCTTCCTTCCTTACTGGGATCACAAGTCCTCATGAACTTAAACCAATCACTTCATGTTCCAGAAGCAGTGTGTTGTTACTCAAGGCCAAAGGGGCTTTATTTTTGTCTCACGCAGGCAGGAGACTCATGTGGCAGGATGAAGCGGCAGCTGGTTACATTGTAGCTGTAATCAGGAACCAAAGAAAGATGAACAGGAAGTGGGACTCAGCTATAAGCCCTCAAGGCCCACCCACTTCCTCCAGTAAGACTCCACCTACTAAAGGTTCCACAGCCTTCCCAAACAGTACCACCATCTGGAGTCCGGGTGTTCGGAACGTGAGTTAGTGGTGGACACCACATTCAAACCACAGCTTGGAGTGAAGCTAGCAACAGTTGCCTAGCAACATGGCAAGGACTACATCCAACAGACAGCATCTAAGCGTTCAGCACAGCCCAAGGCTCAAAAGCCCACAGAGACTGGGGAGGTGGCCAAGCAATTAAGCCACTTTCCATACAGACGTGAGGACCAGAGTTTAGATCTCCAGGACTTAGAGAAATTCTGGGTGGGAATGGAAGCCCATCTGTAGTCAAAGCAGTCTGTGGAGCCTCAGAACAAGTGAGCCACACTAGACGTATCCAAAAGATGTGGGGCCCTGCCTCAGTGAGCAGACAAGACTGAGAATGATGGAAGAGAACTCCTGGCATCAGCCTCCAAGCTTAGACACACACACACACACACACACACACACACAGACACATAGCACATGCATATGCATGTAAATAAAGCCCAGAGAAGTCAGGAAGGGAATAAAAAAGAATGAAAATGACCAGAAAGACCAGAAAATTGTGTGGGCCCCCTTGGCTTCATCATTGTTGGCAGGTACAGAGTCAGAATTACAAGAAAGGCTTCGCTGCTGTTGGTAAGGATTCAGTCAGAATTAATGCTATCCTACAAGGAGAAAGACAAACAGTAAGACTGTTATCACTGTTGAAGAATGATGGGTAATGGGTGGGGGCAAGGGCTGATCAGAGCTTTCGAGTCCTCCTATAAGAAAGAGGTGTCCCCTTTGGGGGCTCCCAGAGACTGAGCCACCAACAGCACACAGGGGCTGGACCTAGCACGTATGTAGCAGATGTGCAGCTCAGTCTTCATTCGGGTCCCCCAACAACTGGCAGGGGTTGTCTCTAAATCTGTTGCCTGCCTGTGGATGCCATTTCTCTAACTGAGCTGCCTTGTCTGACCTCAGAGGGAGACAATGTGCCCTGTCCTGTAGAGAATTGATGCGCCAGTTTGGGAGGGGTGTAGTGGGATATCTTCCCACTACTTTGTATAAAGCTCAGCGATTGGGCTGTATGAGAGGTAGGCGGAGAGAGGAGAGAAGGAGAGAGGAAGAGGAGGAAGGAAGGGAGGAGGAAGAGAGGTAGGAGACATGGAGAGCCAGGCATGTATCGAGAACAGTCTTGGGTAACAACTTATATCTAGGTTAGTTAATTGGTCAACACTTCTAATTGTGTGGGCATCTTGTTATTTGAGCATTACCAAATATATAAAGCTATTGGATAATCTTTAACCATGAGAGTCTCATCTCTACTGGGTACCACATGGATGGCCGGATGGTCTGGACTCAGCCAAGCATGGTGGAGACGGCGTGGCAGATTGGCAGAGCCATCTCCCATGCTGTCATCTCATGGGTAGCAGGGCCGGTGCTTCTGGCCCTCCTGAGCCTGCAACCTGAGCTAAGCAGCAGCGAGAACACGCAGCCGCTAGTGGCCTAAGGCCTTGCTGAGTTGGGAAGATGGCGGGCCCAGTACCACAAGACAGATCGGGTGCAGCCGTTTTAAAATATTAACCGTAACAGAGGGTGATACCCAACCGGGCCTCCCCAATCTCAGAAAAGAAGGGGGAGGGGGTGGGGGGGACTATGTGAGGGAGGAACTGGAAAGGAGGGCAGACAGGCCAGTGATCGGGATGTAAAGTAAATAAATACATTAATTAATTAATTAATGGGAAAAATAAAAGAGAGGAAGGCATCCCTTGGAGCTCCTGTTGACTGAGGCCCTGAGATAATGTTGGGCCAATGTTAACATGCCTTCCTATTAAACAAGAAAATCCAGGACTCTCAAAATTTTTATGTGACATCTCCCAATTCTTAGATTTATGCTTCATTATATTAAAAACAAAACAAAGCAAACAAAAACACTACAAGAGCTGAACTGGGCCAAAATCAGCACATGGGCTGACGCCTCCCACCTCAGTGATGACACACGACATTAAATAGTTCCTCTCTCCCGTGCCTTACTCTTCCCTCGCTGCCTTTCCCCCTCTGTTTTGCATCCTTCCTCCTTCAGCCTCTCCCACCCATCCTTCATTTTTCTTCCGAGTTCACATGGAAGGGAATGATTGAGGTAAGAGAGTGGCCAAGCCAGAGGTGGTAAGCCTTCAAACCATTCGTGCCCCAGGACCGTTAGCTGAGTGAGTCTGGTATTCAGATTGCTTCCTTTTACACACCTAAGCTTACCAGAGAAACTGTTGGTTTGTCTCCACAGCCTTGCGAAGTCGCTCTGGCCGCTCCATTATCAACGGCAACTGGGCAATAGATCGTCCGGGGAAGTACGAGGGCGGAGGGACAATGTTCACCTACAAGCGACCGAACGAGATCTCCAGCACTGCTGGGGAGTCCTTCTTGGCTGAAGGTCCCACTAATGAGATCCTGGATGTCTTTGTGAGTTTGGGGGTTTCAGGGTGCCCTCTGGGCTTGGGCTTCTATGGCTTCCAAGGAATACACTTTGAATAAGCAAAACGTCTTTGCCCAGGCTCGATAAAAATCATTTGAGTGAAGCCTGTCTGAGGGACTCCTTCCAGTGCTTGGCATTGATCTTTGACATTTACCCCTGAGTGTATGAGGCTCTCAGAAACCATAAACTCTACCAGGTGCTTTATTACCCTTGGAGTTTATGGACCCAGTAAAACCAATTTTACTTGTTGAACCAAATCAGAGGCAAACAAATCCCGTTTCATGAGGCCTGGAGCTCTTCCAGGCTCTCTCCTCCCAATGCTAATTTGGCATGTTTTCTTTTATGGCAAAAGAAAGAAAATGCCAAGTGCTGCGAAGCAGCCCACAGGCTCACCCTTCTCAACCCTGTCAAGGCATATGGAAAAGGAACACTCCAGATGACCCCAGATGAAATGGAGAAGCTCTAGCTGCAGTACAAGGTCCCTTCTTCACGCACATAAGGCTGGGATTGCTTTACTTGAAGCCAGAATATTCAGCTGGCCAAGAATTGTTTTTAATGATCTTTTTAAAAAGAAACTACTAGAGGGGCCTAAGGCATTGAGTCTATAAAGTCTTGCAAGCATGAGAACCTGAGTTCCAGCCTCAACACCCACGTAAAAGATGGGCGTGGTGACACATGTCTGTAATCCAAGAACTGTAGAAGCAAAGACAGGAGGATCCATGGGGTTCAATGGCCGGCCAGCCCAGCCTAATAAGAGAGCCTCAGGTCCTAGTGAGAGACCTTATCTCAAACAGCATGGTTGGTCCAGCACCCAGGGTTGACCTCTGACCTCCACATGCACACATACACATATACATGTGTACATATGCACTAAGTCACTAGAATCCAGTCTTCTGAAAAGATGTGGAACTAAAATATGTCAAGAAACAAAAGCTTAAAATAAATACACAAATACCTACTATCCCCAGAGCCACACTGGTCTCTGAAATATTTGCTGTGTCAGAGCTTTAGAAATAATGTCTCCAGCTCAAGAGTTCTGGTCTGTTCTTCTTGAGGGATAGTAGGCTGGAAGTTACAAAAGAAGCCTTGTTTTAGTGAATTCAGGGTGGTTTTTGTGAGTCATGCAGTTGGTTGGTTGACTCTGGGTAAGTCTGAATGGCATCAAAGGTGAAGTAGGCTTTGCCTGTGAACGGCCTCCTGTGGGTGGTCTTGGAAAAGTAGCCAACAATAACCCCATAAACAGCATAAGGCTTTCAGTAGCAGAATCTAGTATGTTTCCTCACAGAAATGAGGCACAGGAAAGGGCAGAAGGAGAAATAGAGTTTGTGCAGAAGGGACTGAGAGGGCTGGGGTAGATAGCAAGAATCTGCAGTCACACAGTAGTGTCCCTCAGGAGTCCCATGCTCAGCGCCAGAGTCATGTGCCTCTCACATCTGCCTGCCTCTGGGTGAGTGATAGGTAAGAAACGCATTTCATGGGTGAGAAGAAGGCAAGAGGGGGTGGCGTGAGTGGGAATTGCAGGCGTGACTCATGGGTGAGTGAGTGCAGGGCTATGAGAACTCAAAAACCAATCAGAATTCTCCTCTCTCCTCCTGATGAGGAAATTCAAACAAGAGCTCTGGAGACTGGCTCTGGATTGCACAGTTGGTCAGCAAGAACCACTTTACAGCGGGAAATACCAACAAGACAGTGTCCCCTTGCTTGGCTCCCAGTTAAATTGTAGATTTGGGTGCTGTTGCTCCAGTGTGCCCATCACTCTGCCTTCTCCTGTAACAGCTGTGAGCACAGGACGAGCTGGTTGAGGGGAGGAATTCTGTTGGCCTTGTTCAATCATTTGTGCCTCTGTCACAGACCTCTGCAGCCCAGCTTCCGGCTTGCAGTCCTGCTTCATGTAGTTTTTAATTGTTTGTTTGCTTGTTTTTTATCATTGTTTCCTCAAAGAATATGACCCAGGTAAACTTACGCATATGAAAATATGTGTTGTTGTTTCATTTTTTTGTTTTGTTTTATTTTGGGCTTTGTTGTTGTTCATTTGTTTTTTTGGTTGGTTGGTTGGTTATTTGTTACTTTGGGGTTTTGTTTTGGTTTGGTTTTTGGTTTGGTTTTTGTTTTGGAGAGGTTATTTTGTTTTATTTTTTTGTGTTTTGTTTGGCACTTTTGTTGTTGTTTTAGTTTCATTTTGATTTCTTGGCCTGGGTTTTGGTTTCCCACTCTATTTCATTATAGTTCTGGGGCTTCCTGTGGGTGAAAATGAGTGGGACCAGGCAGCTGACAAGGGAGAGGACTGAGGACTGGGACCAACTTGAGCCAGCAAGCCTTGCTGGCCTGGTATAAGACATTAAAGGACCCTTACTGTTCTAGGCTAGCCCTACTCAGGACATCTGGTCCTTGTTTGCTTGACTCTGCCACCACCTAACACTCAAACAGATTCCTCTGCAGTGTAAAGATCTCAGGACATTTCAAGGTCACTGATCCAAGCCCTGGCTGAGAATAGCTGTCCAATTCAGACTTTATCAAACCTTAACTCTTATCTTTATAAAATATTCACCATTCACCCTCTTTTCTTCATTCGTATGCACATGAAGTCTTTAATTCTTCAACATCGACAAGAAACCACTGGAAGTAACCTTCTCTAAGATGCCATTGGTTTATTGCTGCAACTACATGAGAACTTGCACATTTAACTACAGTACCACTTACGTTATTGAGACCAAAGCCATCCAGAAAGGGGTGTGTGTATGCAGGCTGTGGTAACATTGACTCTGTGTTCTCAGATGATACACCAGCAGCCCAACCCAGGGGTCCACTATGAGTACGTGATCATGGGGAACAATGCCATCAGCCCACAGGTGCCACCGCACAGGAGACCAGGTAAAGCCCCTTGTTTTGCCACTAAGTATGCTGTGTCACTTTGTCTTAAAGCTCTCTTTCTCTCTCGCTTCTTGTGGCCCTGGCCTCTGTGTGTCCTGAACAATACAAAGAAAACCTGTGGGCACATATTTCAAGTTAGTGGACTTGGCATTGAACATGTTTCTCCGTGTAAGCCTCACTGATGGGTTATTTCACTCACCTAATGCTAAGCAGCAGTTAGACATTCTGGCCCCACATCTGAGATGATTACGTTGGTCGCAGTACCGAATGACCTTCCAACCAGTAACTCAAGATGCAGACAGCCGTCACACAGTTCTGAAGGTCAGAGGTCTCAAAAGAGTTTCATGAGTCTAAGACCCAAGGTGCTCCAAGCAGAATCCATTCCTCTCTGGTTTTGGCTTCTAGATACCTCAGCCTCTATGGCTTCTGACCCCTTCCTCCACCCCCAAAGCCAACCTGGTGACACTTTCCTACCCACCTAAAACTACACCAAAAATACCATCAGGGCTGTATACCTAGCAAGGAAAGGACCAGGGTTCAGATCTCCAGAATCAACTTAATTGCCAGGTGGTCATGGCAGCCCACCTGCAGTTCCAGTGTTCAGAAGGCTGAGGCGGAGGATCCCAGAACAGGCAGGCTGGAGTGGCTGCAGCAGTGTGCTCTGGGCTTAGCTGAGAGATTCCGCTTTAAATACAGTAGAAAGCAATCAAGAAAGGCTCTTGGTATCAATCTCTGGCCTCCACACACATGTGTACCTGCACTTGTAATACATGTGCATTCACATACATGTAAACAGATTTGTACATGTGGACGCACATACACATGCAGGGAAAAAAGTAATAATAACATAAATTAAAACAAAAAAAAAAAGGTATCAGCTTTTAATTCCCTTCTCCTCCCAGAGGGAATATCTCTTACCAGTGTGATGTATCTACCTTGCCCCTTTCTATTAAAAAAAAAAAAAATACAGCCTTTCTGCAGATAATTTGAGCATTTGTCTACGTATCAAATATCATTGTTTGCAGTTAGACAGTTCAAAACCACCCTGAACATTATGCTCTTCTGAAGTCGTCAGAGCGTTCACTCTCAGTCAGTCCAGAGGCTGTAGACACCTGACGGGTGTGGGTGTCCGAGTGCACACATGCTTGCAGCAAGGCCCTGGGACCTGGGAGGGGCTAAAGCAACCCGTAGATCCTGACTGCACTGACTGCTGACTATGCTCACAGGAGCAGCCTCATGGAACCTTCCAGCTTCTGCTGGGGGCAAAAATAAAGGGTGCGACTGAGAATTGACCCCCAATCTCACCCCAGACGTGATAAGGTTCCAAGGACATTGTGTGGTCCATGCTGGGGTCCTTGGTGCTCAGGAAATGCAAAGCCCCAGGCTGTTGGGACATCACTGTCTAAAAAGGTCTTCTCTGCTGTGCCCTTGTCCTGCCTACCATGGATGCCTGTGGGAATTCCACTTTATCCTTCCTGAGAACCCCGGGTTTGCACTGTGCTAAGGGAGGACCCCCCTCACACCAAACAGATTTCATTATCTATTAAAATGAAGATTAGCAAGAAAATTCAGGAGCATAGCTACCTTTCAAACTTGAAGAGGAACAGAAACAGAGAAGGCCACATCTCTCTGCACACGTGTGTGTCCGAGTGTGCACAAAGCCAAGTCTGTGCGTTATTGTTCAGCAAACGACACATCAGCCATGCTGCTGAGTTAGAGCAGATATTTGCTGCATCCTTTCGTCATTCCATTTCAGAGTTGTGCTGTGATGTCATTTAATTTTTACCGTCTGTACACACTGAAGCCTGTTGTCTTGCTAATAGTCTATGCTATATTTTAGTAACCCTATTTTTATGCACAGCTTTAAGTTAGAGAATGAGACCATGTATAGGATAAATATTCTAGAAACGGCAGAAGTAGGTCAAAGAGTACGTGCATTTAAAACTTAGAGCATTGGTGCCAGCCTGTTCCCCAACGGCTGGCATCTGTGTGTAAGCTCACACATACTGAAAGAAGTGGATGTTAGCTTCCAGCAGAGGACCTAGGGACATGAGCTTCCAAACTCTCTAACTCTTATCATGAGGTAGAAAAGAGTTGAAGGTCTTCCTGGCCCAGGTCTTCATAGGTGTTATGTCCATTATAAGTGAAGCTGGGAGAGTTTTTTTATGGCTTTTGACTGTTTGTGTGTTTGTTGGGAAGGAAACATCTTCCCCATGGCCTTTGACAATTCCTTATTGGTTTTTTTCTACTGATTTTTTTTTGTATGTATGAATATTTTGTTGTGTGCCACATGTGCTACCTGGTACCTCAGGAGGCCAGAAGTGGGTGTTAGATTTCCTGGGACTGGAGTTATAGATGGTTGGGAGGCACCATATGGGTCTGGGAATTGAATCTGTGTGTTCTACAAAAGCACACATTGCTCCTAACCAATGAGCCATATCTCCAGCCCCTTCTTACTGATTTTTAATGTTTTAAACATGAGAGAGATGAGTATTTCCTTTTCTAAAACATCGTCATTTCAAATGTGTTCCTGTTGTATCCCGTCCAGTGGCAAAGCTCTCTCCTTTTCCATCCTTCTTCAACTCAGTGTGCAGAGGAATCTCACTTCTGTGCGTGTGCTGCCTCTCCTAGGCGAACCTTTCAATGGACAGCTGGAAACGGAAGATGGAGGTCAGGAGGACAGAGAAGAGAGGGAGAAGAACCAGGAGAAGGAAGACTCACGTGTCGAGGCCCCCCCTGAGGTATTCACATCAGAATCCACGCAGACCTTCCCAGTCAGGCATCCGGAGAGATTCCCTTCCCACCGACCAGACAACTTGGTGCCCCCAGCGCCACAGCCCCCCAGGCGAAACCGGGACCACAACTGGAAGCAGCTGGGGACAACAGAATGTTCCACCACCTGTGGGAAAGGTAAGCCTGTGTGGAAATCCCACTCCAGGCCGATAAGGGATGGCCCAGGGGAGGCCTGACATGAGACTCATCAACATGAACCACCTGTGAGATGGTTTGCTCATGTGACGTACTGAGTTAGAGGTTCCCAAGATAACCCACAGGCCCACCCAGTAGTGGGTCTTAAAGAGTCAGAAAAAATCTGTGCTCCCACCCCTGTTTATCAAAGTGAAAGAATACAGATTTGAGTGAGCAAGTGGACACATGGGCCAAGTCCAGGAAACCGGATCGAGGGACAGGGATTCCCTTCCAGCAGTGATATGTAACAGTTCACACCAAAGACTACCAACCAGAGATGCCCCCACCCAAGCTTTGGTGCACAGGCATTTACAAAAGCATTCCCAGACCTCACGCTGGCACCCCAGAGGTCACACTGCCACAGTAAAGCAGAGCGTCAAGCACACAGAAACAGATGACATTCACTGTCACTCTAGGCCTTCGTGACTCATGATCTCAAGCATAGGGAACACTCAGGCAGAGTGTTACCATGACCCCAAGGCTGTGTCCCAGAAGCTACTCAACACAGACAGGCAATTAAATAAATACAGAGCCAGGTGGTGGGCTGGGTGCATGGATCTCTGAGTTTGAGGCCAGCCTGGTCTACAGAGTGAGTTCCAGGATAGCCTAGAGAAACCATATCTCAAAAAAAAAAAAAAAAAGCAAAACAATAACAACAAAATGGCCGGCATAGACCTTCTGAGCTGAGCCTTCCTGTGGCTATACTATAGTCAATAATCAGAGAACATGCACGCATGCTCCAGAGTCTAAAACTTGAGGAATCAGGCTTATAGATGGCTGGTGTAGATGCCATGATCTAAAGGCTTCAGAGGAAACATCACACCTAGGGTCCTGGCGTTTTGCTCCAAGCTTTCCCCTCCCTTTCGTGCTCCCAGATAAAAATGTTAACCCCAGGTTCATCCAATGTCCTAGCCCAGTCAACCAGGACCACCAGAGAAAAGCCCCTACCCTAACAATGTCATATTTGTTAACTGTTGCAAGAAGGGAGCCTGTGTGCCAGAGGCAGCATGCAGCCTCTCTCCAAGGAAAAGGCAGACGGTGTAGACTGAGGAGAAAGGTGGAGTTTCAGTGAATTTAGATAAAGTGGTGTTGTGATAGGCTCAAAGCAAAACATGGCTGACATGTGTGACGGGGTCCACATTAGTTCTAGACTGTAACAAAGATCCAGGGCCCTTCCCTTAGCAACTCCAAAGTCAGGACAGTTGGGAAGAGCAGTGTCTGGAAACCCTTGTGTGACTGCTGGGCCCGTGCTCTGGAAATTGACTCTACCTCCGTTTCAGGGTGACTTTACAGTCCTCCTTGCAAGGAAACACCCATGAACTACAGTCAATCTATTTTTTAAGATTTATTTATTTCATGTATATGAGACACTATAGCTGTCTTCAGCCACACCAGAAGAGGGCACTGGATCCCATTACAGATGGTTGTGAGCCACCATGTGGTTGCTGGGAATTGAACTCAGGACCTCTGGAAGAACAGTCAGTGCTCTTAATTGCTGAGACATAGCTATAATCTTCTCCCTATATAGGCTGAGGGCATCTTATTCAGTTGTTGCCATGAAACAGTTGTTCTCTGAGGAGACGTTACTATAGAAACAAAAGCTGCGCCCCACTCCACGCTTCCTAAAACCCGGAAATCCACCCAAGACATTGATTCAATGATTAGTTGGGGTTTTTTGGTTGGTTGGTTGGTTGGTTGGTTGGTTGGTTGGTTGGTTGGTTTTGTTGTTACTTTTTCTTCACGAGACTTGAATCTGGGCTGGGAAGATGGCTCAGTGTGTCAGAGCACTTGCTTTGCAAAACATGAGGACCTGAGTTAAAATCCCAAAACCCACATTAAAGTTACACATGGAGCGTAAGCCTCTATAACCTCATCTCCCTACAGAGAGATGGGAGGCGGAGACATGAAACTCCCAAACTGCCTACCCTGGCCTACACAACAGAAAACAACAGAGAAAATCTGTCTGAAAAACAAAAAGTAGAAAAATGAAGACTGATACGTCAGGTTATCTTCTGACATTTATACATGTATACACACACACACAGAGGTGGGAAGGAAGGGAGGCAGGGAGGGAGGGAGGGAGAGAGAGAGAGAGAGAGAGAGAGAGAGAGAGAGAGAGAGAGAGAGAGAGATCCAAGACTCTCTTGGATCTGAAGATATCTTTTTCAAGAGCACTAGCCTAATGGCTTTTGGGACTAGAATTTAAGTCTTTGATTTATTTTTATTTGGGGATAGGAGGCTAGGACTGGATGGCTGGAATTCTTTATGCTCAAAGCCTTGATAATTCCACAGTGATTGATTCTGCCTGGTAACTGGAGAATTAACCTATGAGCTCTCGTTGCACCCATTTTGCTGTGCTCAGACTGCAGGAGCCGAGATGTGGCCCGAAGAGCGAGGGGCTGCCCTGGCTGCTATTGTAAGTCTGTAAGGGGAAACGAGATGCCTGTAGACTGTGTCCTGACAGAGCCAGACAGCTAGAGATAACTCTGCCAAAAGGCCAAAATCATTTTAATAAGATTTTATCCTAGGCGTTACAGAGATAAGCAGAGTATCTCAGTGTTGACAAAGGAACCTCAGATCCAAATGGACTCCTTTCCAACTCTTCTGCCACTTATGAATTGGTGCGGTGCCCGGATAGCTCAGAAGGGACTGCCACTGCGTGGTTTGCAACCCAGAATTATATGTGTAGAAGATTCTTCCCCACCCTGTGTAGAGACCACAGGATACTGATTTGTGGATATAGTGAGGTAAGGGCTGAATAACTTGATCATTGGTGGTCATTCAGCAAGCCCCTCTCCGCTCTGTAACAGACATGATGGAGAAACACCACAGAATCAAAGTGCCCTCAGCCTTCCCCCCAGCTGCTTCCCTCTCCCTCCATTACTAGCCTCGGGCACCTGACCAACACACTCCTCTTCATACTGTGTATTAGTCCCATTTCTGTGACAAAAGATCTGACAAAGAAGCAAAGTTGAAGTAGGAAGGGTTTGTTATGGCTCACAGTGTGAGGGTCCATCACGGTAGGATGTCATGGCAACAGAAGCTTAGGGCAGCTGGTCACATTGTATCTGCCCTCAGGAAACAGAGGACCATGAATGCTTGTGTTCTGCTCCCTTTCCCCTTTTTATTCGGTCTAGGACCCAAGCCAAGGGAATGACGCTGCCCATGGTTAAGGTGGCCCTTCCCACCTCAGTTAATCTAGAAGTTCCCTCACACGCATGCTTGGAGCCTGGTCTCCTAGGTGAGTTTCCAAGGTTACAATATCATCTAGTCCACGCCCCAGTGTCTCTTCCAATGTGGAGCCTGCCTGACTCCACATGCTTCAAGTAAGCCCTCTTTCCTAGGAACTCCCAGCACTTCAGGACACATTCCTTGTGTCAGGCTGGAATGTCTCCCCCAGTTTCCACTTTCTAGCCTCGGTGCTCAGCATCACGGTGAGCACCTGATGTTTCTCTGTGTGAGCGCCTCAAATGTTCCTTGAATAAATTGATACATTGTTACCCACATTTTCAATGTACACAATGTGAACTATCAGAAAAGACACAAGAGTAGTGTTTATGTCTTTAGAATTCTTGCCTTTACCCATGCTCTGTGAATAGCATAAAGAATATGAAATTCTTTTTCTGAATTAAAAAAAAATGCATGTATGTGCATAAGTTTATATGCACCTCATGTATGAAGTTCCCAAAGAGTCCAGAAGGGGGCGCCAGAGCCCCTAGAACTAGTGGTTGTGAACAACTTCAGGGACATGGGAGCTGAACCAAGATCTTATGGAAGTACTCTTAACTCTTAACCAATCCCAAGAATGTAAATTTGTATGTCCAGATTAAATCATGTTTTTCTAAGGCAGCCTTTACTTTTTATACTCGTGTACACACACACACACACACACACACACCAGAATGTGAAGTATGAAATGTAACATCCACATGATCCATTTCAAATATGTAGCCTGTACATATGCACACCCACGTGTGCATGTGTGTGCCAAACTTAGCATTTGCTGCTGGAGGTATCTGAGGCGACTGTCCCATTCTCTCCTTTACCCTGCAAACAGCACTGGCTCTGAAGCCAGAGAGTTTCTGAAGGGTGGCTTGAAAATAAAGCATAGGCCGATACATTTCCCCTTCTTTTCCCTGTGACAAACAGCGGGAGCTGGCAGACACTTCCCATGCTCCCTCCAGCAAGCATTTCCAACCTTTGACACTGTGCCACAATATTGTCGTCTACAAAGTTCCTGATCACGAGCCTCGCAATCAAGTTCAATATTTTTACAACTTTTGTCTCGAGCCACATTCATAGCTACCTTGGGCCACAGGAAGGACACCCCTGGGACCCTGGGACCCTGGGACCCTGGGACCCTGGGACCCTGGG